CAAACAACTTCTATAAAGATATAATATACATATACTCACTTAACGTATTCATTATTATGCTGATATATATATCAGTTGATGGACGGCATGTTTTCTCCAAAATTTAGGTTATTTAGATATATATGCCCCAGACCAGAAATTTTTAGTAAATTTGACTCTCTTTTCCATTTCGGAGGCATAGTTGGTTGGAGGGTTCTAGTGAATTTGCCTCACCAGAAACTGTATGAGTGTCTTGGAGTTATTATGTGAAGAAGTCCTCAGCTCCCCATCATGTGAATTCGATGAGCTTGTGATGAGATTTCGTCTGAGCGAAAAAGCAGCATTTAGGCATAGATTGATTAGGATTGTTGAGTGGCGAGACTAAAACATCTTGTAACAATGCAACGTTCTCTAAGAAGAGAAGTTTGGCTTTGAGGAATTTTTTGGTTGAATTCACCTCCCTTTCAAGTGAAACTGTGTGATTAAATGATTCTCAGTTGGCTCACATCAGAAAACGACAGCAGGCTCCTCTTTAATGAAGAGATGTCATGGTTTACCCCACCCGAAGTCGAAGGTTGATTTCCGTTGTCCTGCCGTCTTTATCTCAAGCGATTTCGCGAAACCTTTAAACTCTTTCTAGATAAAAGTATACGATTCATTAAAGCACAGAAGCCTATATTTACATGCTATATATATATATATATATATATATGATATCAATCCTCTTTTGCTTTTTGGTGAGGCCAATTCACGAAGTCCTCCTGGCCACTTTTAACTTTACAGTCGAGTCACATTAGTAAAGAATGATTGATAAACCGGGTTTTCTGTATATAAACCATTGTTATGAATCCTGTTTTCCCGTTTTGACGGCAGATGTTTTTTTGACACGACGGGACACGCGAGAGCTCAATATGAAGTGTTTCAGGACAATGGACCGAGGACCTTTTCGAACAAATTCATCCTCCGGCTTCCAGTGAAGCCTCTTCAAACGAAATAAAAGTGATTGAATATATGAAGACCAAGATGTTGTGGCCTCTGGTGTGGTCGCAGAGTCTTCGAAAACCATAGCTTCTATTCAAGTCACTTATTTGGCTTCCGATCTAGGCGTTTGTTAACGAAACGGAATAAGACAACGATCCTATCGGCGTGACATCGAAAATAAACCTATAGAATCGACGCTATGTTGCGGTGCCTCTCAAAGGGTGCCGCCTCGCTTCACATCTCCTCACCTCCCCACCGAAGTCACGGAAGCTAGCCAGGGACCTATGCCCTCTTGCCAGCCCGTCAGTTGCCTCGTCAAGAAAGCCAAACCCCTCGGTCTCAGAAGCTGGGTTTCCCAAGGCTTACAGTGCCAAATTCGCCTCTGAAAAAACGGGTTTCCGAGGCCGAAACGACTTTTGGATTAGGATAAGAGGAGTAAAACACAGCCCCCCTCCTGCATACATGAAGACTGGTGTTCAATGTTGAGTGTATTTATGCCTCAATTAGTGTATGCGACCTGACGTGTGTGAGTTTGTGCGTTTGTGATGGGAAATAGGTGAACACCTGAACAGGCCTGAAGGTCGTATGGTCGTGTGGCCCCTGCGTCTGTTTGCGTCGTTCAGTTCGGACGAGGGCGCTGGCGGTGGCCTGCTGATCTCGCCGCACAGACACGCGAGGCAAAGCCGTCAAGACGGCTCACCAGGCCGCCCGAGCAAGCCCTCTCGGGGCTGCAGGCATTTGCTCACCCGAGGCGAGCGTACGCGTGGAACTGCCTCTGCCTTTCTGTCTGCCTGCCTGTCTGCCCAGGGCGGCCAGACCACGTGGAGTAATGCTATGTGGCTGATGAGTCATCGCACGCCATGCAGGCACGCCGCGAGGCGGCTCCGTCGGCCCTCTGGCCACCTGCTGGCCAAGGCCTAGGCCTAGACCTCGTGGCAAGCCGGCGCGCGTGCATCATAAGGGTCAACAGTCGACTAACGGCCCCATCTCACGTGCTCATGTGCTCATGCGCCTACGCGCACGCACGTACCAAAATTCGCCCGACAGATGGCGGCTGGGCCAATGCCAGTTTGTGATTGGTCGAAGCTCGGCCCAATCAACAGTCTCCTGCACAGCTGGATAAAGCACGTGTCCACTGCGGCCATGGCTCAGTCTCCCCTCGGTTCGTTGTTCGATCTCGTCGCTCTTACCTCTTCCCGCT